AGCCAGCCAGCGCATGCGATGATGCTGCTAGGTGCGTGCTGATGTGCTGCCTGGCGCTGCGAGGTGTGTGAGGCTGTGATGCGAGTGCTATGAGATGCCCAGCACGCAAGCACGCATAGCCCCACAACATTAGCACGCATTGCGCGCTGCTAGCGAGGCCCAGCACTTGCGTGCTGCTGCTGGCCTTGCGATGCTACGACATGGCTGCTATGTGCGATGCTAGCCTTGCCACACCAGCTAGCTAGCCAGCGCTACTAGCATGCGATGCTAGCATGCATTGTTGCTAGCAAGCTCGTTAGGGTGTGTGGCCTAGGCTAGCCTAGCTCTCGCATGGCTAGGCCAATGCGAGGCTATGGCTTAGCTCATACTTGTCGCTTGTTGATTCGTCTCGTCAAATTCCAAATTCGACTCGACTTAAGACGATCGGTCTCGACGCTCCGAGCTCGATATCCGATGTCTTTGTTCGTAAAACTCCGACGACTCATCGAATCTTTCGGATTGATTCGTCGTCTCGGATCGGTTGTTCGATTGGGTTCGACCCGAAGGGTTCATTCAAGATTAAGCTGTAATATTAATTGTACATTAATATTACTGATCATAAGAGGCCTCCACCTAGGCATTTCGATCACTTGACCTTACTGAAGAATTAGCTTTCCGATAATTCTGAACCCTCTATCGGACACCATTCCTTTCACTTTCCAACGATATATTATAAGCCCAAATTCGACGTAAAACAAATAAGTAATGGCCAAAATACTAAACCAAGCCCAAACCTGACCTAGGTCCACCTTACCTACGACCCGATGATCATGTGAGGGTCCAAATACCTTAATCCAATCCTAAACCAATAAGAATTCATTAGGAGCTTCTAGAAGTCTCTAAAAGGTTCTAATTTATCCTTTGTAAAAAGATAAAGATCAAAGAGTTTGAAATTGAATAAAACTTATCTTTTAATAATCCTAAACTAACACGCGCTGTCCCACTATTTTGATCATATCTTAAATTCTACAAAAGATATCAATTTGATTTTAATTGGGTTGGAAAGAATATTTCGAGAGCTTTCTAACGATATATATTTATCTTATTCCGATTTTCAAATCAAAAGTTATGATAAAAACAAAAATTGCAAAAACTGCTGTCCAACGCGCTTCGATAGTTCCATCGCGCCGCGACGGACTTCGTCACGCCACGATACTCCTATTGCGTCGCGATAAAAAAGGTTTTATTCCGATTCAAATTCTAATCTTTTCTAATTGATTCGACTTTTTTTCCCCAAATAAATAGAGGTCGTTTTCCCCCGTTTTTAACCACAAACAACCAACAATCATCAATAATCCTCTCTAATCATCTTAATCATCTCTTCTATCTCTTGATTCCATTTTCTAAGCCTTAGCCTAAGCACACCCTAAACACATCCTTGATATTCTCCCCAATAAAACACCATACCTCCTTTGCAAGACTTGAATACTCCTAGCCATAATCCTCGACGTTGCCTTCGACCTTGACGTGAAAGGTTGATAGTTCTTAGGGTTTTGTCCCATATCTAAATTTCAATTCATATTTGAATTATTTATTTTATTGATTTAATCTTTCGTGAAGTTTACTAACGTGTGTATTGTTTTAATAGGAAGAAGGTTGAGACATCAAAGTAAGTAATTTGATTACTTAATTATTCCTTTGGTTTTTCGAGTAGGAACCATGCTTAGGATGTTTTTATGATTTCTAGTATCATGTTTAGGATGTTAATTTTGATTCCTACTATCATGTTTAGGATAATGCTTTGATTATTTTGATTTTTATTAGTAACATGCTAGGATTTATTATTAATTCGTTTAATATCATGCCTAGGATCTTGCTATTGATGAGGTTTTGATTATGATGATGATTGTTGTATTAATTATATGTTGCTTGATTATTCATGATTTATTGTTATTGCTTGATCACACCCCTCCTTGCAGGTTTAAAGGGAACTTGTACTTGAAATCACGCCTAATAAAATAATTAATAATTTGAATTTAGGTTCAATATGATTTTAATTCAAGTGATCACCAATAATAGATTTGATTGTGCATTGATAATCAACCAACGTAGATTAAATATGCTTAGGATTAATTTGATGTACGTATGTTGATCGAAAAGCGCTCATGAATATCATAAGAATTAAGTTGAGGTCGATTTAGGGCGGGTTCAATCTCTTTTAGGTTGGATTCGTACCATCATCCCTGAACAAAGCATGGCTCCGGACCACTATGGAGTTAGCGATCTCCGTGATCGTGAATGGATTGTAACCTTCACACCCGTGAACGATTTACAAGTTCCTAAATCTTGTTGGCGACTCTTTTATCTCTAGCTTCTTTCCCTTGGAGCGCCGCCATACCTAAAAGCAAGAACCACAATGGGGCTCAAAGTTGAGTTTGAAAAATTCCCTACAGTTTTTGGCGACTCCACTGGGGAAGGATTTCTAGATTTGATTCTTAAAATTTATTTTGGCAATCGATTTAGAATGAGTGGATGAGACTTGGAAGATTCTAGATATTAATTGTGCGTAATTTTGATTAACATTATTGTGGCATAAGCATAAAAAGGTTAGCATTGGAAAGACCATACATAATGCATAAAAACATAGGATATATACACGTAGGAAAAGCCGGAAATATCTTTCACAACTAGAATCGAAAAGACGACGCTACGAAAAATCAGAAAAAAAATCGAACATAGAAACTGCCGCAGCGCGTCAGAACCATCACAGGACGTTTGAAACCATCGCCCGACGATAATTCCATCGCTCAGCGATGGAGCTATCGCTGCGCGATAGTTTCTACCTTCCAGCGATGTGATCTGGCGACATTACTCCAGGGTTCTGTCTTCTTGTTTTGCCCGATTCTAGTACTGTCTCGACGATTCTACTTCCTGATTAAGTTTTTTTGACTTTTCTGAACCCATATATGTTCTATATATATGGTGTTAGCCCTTGGGAATTCACGCTCCATCCACCCTAATGAACACTCCGTGCAACAATGGGTGCATCCGAGTTAGTGAATTCACCAAACCATGGAAGCGAGTTTAACTTGCGGGGTTCCATCCATTGTGCCAAGACTGCCAACCCTTTTAAGGTAAGGCTTCTGCGCGATGCATTCAGACTCTTAACCATGGACCTTCTTGGACACCATAATCCTCGACCTTAGAGAACTAGAGCCATGGTTAGGTGGCAAACTCATTGCATCATATTGTGACTACTTAACTACTTGTGCATACCTTGTTTGTGATTACACTAATCTTTTGTGTTAACTTGTTTCTTGTAAATAAAGTCTTAATGAACCAACGCTTTGTTTTGACTTAATGTCTTGACTTGCTTCTTATACATATAACTTGTATATTCTAATTCAAAGGATTTTGCTTAATTAAGTTGGTTAATTAATATGAACCTATAAAGTCTAAATATACTCGACCTAGCAGACTATAGGCTTAAACCTTTGAAAGAATCATCGAAAACAGATTACAATGACGATCCAGGATTGGCGCGTTATTCTTTTATGCGGTGCAAGACGTCGGTATCCATCCCGACGTGATAGTCTTGTCGCGCCGCGATGGTGCCAGCGTCTCGCGATGGTTCCATCACTATGCAATAGTTTAGTTGTTTCTTTCCGAGTCTTCGCGTCGAGTCTTACTATCACGATTAACCAGTTTAATGTATAAACACGGTCTTTTCTTGGTCTTGTCTGAGTCTAACCACATGTCTAGTCACATGGTCATGAAAGGAGTCTTTAATATATCACTTACACTCACTAGTCTTTGCACACACATTGTGCATCCCTTCTTCACACCATGACCATGTCTTAGGTCCATGCATGAGTCGTCCTTTCTGTCATTGGAGTTGAGGGTCCATCCTATTCCTGGATTTTTCCATATCTTTCCACATATACACTCTTCCCCTTCTATATCACCTCCATACATTACACACCTTAAACTTTCCTTCATAAACACTTTTCACGTACTTTCTTCTCTCATGCTTCCCCATACATATCATTCCCCTCATACACTATGATCTTTCCCATCTATGTATGTTGAATTGATTTCGACTCATGTGATTGACAATGAGTGTCCATGGTTTCCCTTTCCACAGCGTTTGGTCAAGGAAAGAAGGACGCTTAATTCCAGATAACACCTTCACACAAGTACTCCTTTTTCAGAGCCCAGTTCGAAGAACGAAGAAATCAATGGCAGCAGCTAAACAAGAAGATGTCGACAAACTCCAAAAGACCATGGATGGTCTTGTTGAAATGATCAAAGGACTTAGCACTCGAGTGGAGAAGGCTGAGGACCCTAATAAACAAGTACCACCTGAGACAATCAAGCGCATTGAACAGACGCTAAGTTAAGTTTCCAATAGTCAAAAGTATCTTGATATGAGTACCAAGGGAATCTCATTAGATAAAGAACTTCTTCCGCACAAGTTCTCAGCCAATGACATCCCTAAGTTCAAGCCCATAGATAATCCCTACTTTCACCTGAGAGCTTTTGAGACAATCATGGGAATCAAGGGGGTTGATAAGAAAGCTTTCCCCTCACTTTTCTCCGTTTCCTTGGAACCCGTATGTCAATAATGGTTCTTTTCCATGGACTCTGAGAAAATGGCTACTTGGGATAGTATACGCATGCTTTCATTGACAGGTACAAGTGCAACATACATGTAGAGACTGACTATAGAGAGCTCAAAATCCTTAAGCAAAAAGACAATGAAGGCTTCATCGAATTCTACAACAGGTGGAGGGAAGTTTCTGCTAAAATGATCAAGGCCCCACATGAAAAAGACACTCTAACAGTAGTAGAAAAAATGAAATAGGCACCCCCCTTTTAGCACCGGTTCTTGAAAACCGGTGCCAAAAGAAATGGGCGGGATTGGAAAAATCAGTGTTGGCACCGGTTCCAACCAAAACCGGTGCCAATCATTTAATTAGCACCGGTTCAATCCGGTGCCAACTTATTAAAAAAAACCGGGCTCCTGCTTTTCTTTCTTTCTTTCTTTCCCCCCGTTTTTTCCATCTGATCTTCTATTTTCCCTAGCTCTAGGTTTTGCCTTCAATTCTCTTACTTCCACCATCTCGAATTTTCACCTTCTCCATTGAAGTGGTTTACGAGCTTTCTCACTCCATTGAAGCAGCACCTCCTTCTCTCTCCATATCTCTGGCCTCCATTGAACTCGTGCTCTATATTCTCCATCGAAGCCGATTCCGAGCTTTCTCACATCCATTGAAGCAGCTTTGAGGTCATGTGGTCTTCTTAATCTATTGAATTCCTTCGCAATTTAGGGTTTGTCGTTGATTTGGTTTTCAATTTCGTAATTTTAGGGTTTTGGTTTTATTTCTATTTTTTGTCGAACAAAATAAGTAGCAAATTTGATAAATTTTGAAGAGGGGTTTGATTATTTAATTCCGGGTATATATTTAGCTGGATTGCAATCGATTGGATCATTGGAATTAATCGTTTTGGATCCGATTTTGGGGGAAACGCCATCCCATGGCGCTGTTTCGTCAATTCTTCTATTGGAAGCCACCTGATCGGCTTCTTGAAATTTCTGAGCGAGTTTTGGGTTAGGGTTATGAATTTAATGTTGGTTAATTATTTGTGCAATTGGTTATAAATTTCTGGGTTTGTTTGAATTATGGGTTTTGTTTAATGGGTTGGTTTTGATTTTTTGTTATAATGTGTGTAAGTGTTGAATTTTGTTGATCATTGAGCTTGAAATGCTTCAATTTATGCTGAGTTTGATGCAATCTGTGGGGTTGTTAGGGTTAGATTTTGGTTTCCATTTCTGGGTTTTAGAACAATGAATGACAAAAAACACATTATTCTGGTTAACGACTTAAAGCAAAGCCACACCTTATTAGCTGGTCAACAGCCTGGTCAATTTGTTGAAAAGAAACATATATTTTAATCACACTTGTCTTCCATACTTTCTCCTACTCTGATGAGCAGACATTGAATTTCAGGCATTCTTCCGTTGACCATTATTACTTTGCATTTTTTTAGTTTTCTTTTCATATTTGCCGTGTTTTTTTTTCAAAATTTCCTTTTAAGTTAAAATTTCTTTGGTCCACTAATTACTCCCTAGTTTACAATTTTACAGCCTTAATTTGTACGGAAACACTTTGCAGACTCTTCTCTTCTCTCCCTTTTTTTGTACAAAGAAACTGTACAGCTTTCATTCTCAATTCAAGCACTCAAAGTAAGTTCTATGATTTTGGTTTCAAATATGTTTGTGTAGTTTTTAGAGTGTAAAGTTATGATTAGAAGGGCGATGATATAGACGAGATTTGATCTCAGGTATTACGTAACTAACTAAACTAGTTGACGTCCTGAGATGAGTTATGTTGATGATGGATTGATGCTTTATGCCACATTGGATTGGGTTGTATTTTCAATTTTGGGGTTGTGTTGCTTTTATATGTGATAGTTTTGTTTTGGGGGGTTTGGTCGCTTCAAATGATTGTTTGATATTTAACTCATTTAAGAGTTTTAACTTCTGCTGAATTCTGGTTAAAGCTATATCTTGTTTGAGATTGTTTTAGTAATAAAAAAGGTGAACTAAAATCCAGATTCTTCGGTTGTGCAGAAATTTTGAGGGGTTTAGTATTATTTAGAGCTAGATTCTTCAAGTTGTGCAGAATTTGAGGGGTTCAAATTATTTAGAGCAAGATTCTTCAAGTTTTGCTGAATTTTTGAGGGTTTTAAATTATTTAGAGCTAAATTTTACAAGTTTTGCAGAAAATTTGAGTGGTTTAAATTATTTAGAGCTAGATTTTTCATGTTTTGCAGAAACTTTGAGGGGTTTAAATTATTTAAAGCTAGATTTTTCAAGTTTTGCAGAAATTTTGAGGGGTTAAAATATTTTGAGCCATCTCATACAATTCTAAATTACTTGTTATTTTGAGGGGTTTATTTAATTTTGAGCTATCTCATTTCATCTAAATTACATGTATAGATTTGTGTAGTTTGCTATATGATGAATTTTTGTAGTTTGTAATATGATTAATATGTGTAGAATGTAGAAGATTGAGAAGGGAATTTGTTAGTCCAATTTGTTTTTTTGAATTAGTTGAGAAAGTAGGTTCTTAGATTCAATTTTAGGGTTTCTGGTTTTCATATACGACTTGTTCATTTCTAAGTGTGCTTAAGTAGTAATTTGAATTGCTTATTAAGTGCACGAAACTTCAGGTTCTTATTTTTCACGCTTTAGAACTTTGGTCTACGCTTGTGACTTGTTCGCTGTTCTGTGTGTTTAACGGTTTAAGGCAGCAGTTTGAATGATTTTTCTTCTAGGTATTATGCGCAGTTTAATGCAAATGCCTGCTGAGAACTGATGTTTCTTGAGAACTCATCTCACCCTAGTGTCACGCATAGCTTAAACATTGATAAAAGTTATTTGCAGTCATATGAACGTGATAACTATGTACAATATTCATATAAGACCACCTACTATTTTCATGAATCATTGAAGCTGAATCTTAATGTCTTCCAAAACTGTCATTATTGCTTTTTTAGCATAGCAATCTAGTTAAACTTCGCAATGAATTTTAATCAAATTTTTTATTGATTATAAATCTGTACTGTTATTTACTCCGTATTTATTATTTTCCAGCTTGTGGTATTTAGTTAATGTTTGAGCAAAATTCTATTTTTCAGGTGTTTTGGTAATTTTGGATTAACAACTTTTGGTTTATAAGGGAATCTTTTCGTGGTGGTTACATAGTATGCCTTGTTTCCCTTGCTTGTTTGGTAAAAGAGTTGAGTCTGCTGTCAGAACTCCTGCTGCTGCTGCTGAAGGTAAACGCTTAAGAATAGTCATAGCATGTAATTATTACAATTATGTATCTTTTTCCCCAATATATGCTTTTTACGTAAGTTCGTGAGGTGCTTCTAAATCCACTTTGATTATAAAGAAGTTTCATAAAATAGTAGAGGGACTACGAATACTATTGACAAGGGTTAAATCGGTCGCTACAATCTAACTCTCAATCAAACAATACTTATACGAACACCCTATAACCAAGTACAATGGCAAATAAAGGTTCGGTCCACGAGGAACGAGAGTAATTGCAAATCAATCTTAAACCTAAGCTAGTTCGAAATCAATGGAAAATGGTGTTCTAAAATACTACTAATAAGATGGAATAAATCAATAAACTAAGACACTAGGGAGAACGGGAATCCGCCTAACCATTGGTAACTAAGCAACAAGGAATCACAGAGACAAACGGGATATGCAAAGACTATAAGTCTGATCAATATCATGTGATAGGAAGACAACGGGCAATACTAAGCTTGGATTTCTCATGCACTTAACATTACTCGATACATAATCAAACCACATTCAATAATGAAATACTCAATTCACAATCTCTTATTCAAATCAAGAATATCATGCAATCAAATTCAAGATTCTAGGTTAGCTACTCCTATTATAATGAATTAACATGCAATCGCATATAATCAATTTAATCACAATCCGTTTATCAAAATCAACCCTCAATTACATAGATTACCTAGGCCGGGTTTCATCCCGAAACCCTAGCTAGGAGACTACTCACACATATTCATAATCAAAGCAATAATGAATTCCAAAAGCATAATAGATATAAACATGAATTCTGATTAAGGAATAATAAAGCTTGATTAATAAACAAGAATGAATAATACCAATTGTATTGATGCGAATCAATGGAAAAGTTCAGAACTTTGATATCCGTCGTCAATGAATAATACAAAGAATCTTCGCAAATCTTGCTTCAAATCAATCCAAGAAAACTAAAATCTCTAGAAATATCTCTAAGAAAACTAATGAATCTCTAATAATAAGAACGTTCTCCAATACCTCTCTACAAAGGCTCTCAAAACTATCTCTAAAAAACTGTCTCTGGAATCCTCTTAAAGTCGGGCCTTATATACGTCTTCTAATTCGGAGAAGTCAAGCGCGCAGTTAACCCTAGATCAGCACGGCCGTGCTGAATTTGGCACGGCCGTGCTAGCTTGTCAGTAGGTAAACCGGATTTCTTCTTCAATTTGGCACGGCCGTGCTATATATGGCACGGCCGTGCAGCTTCCTGGCACGGCCGTGCTAAAAATGACACCGCCGTGCTGAATATGCTCCAGCACGGGGCTCATACTGAAGCTGACACGGGCACGGGCAACATCTGGCACGGCCGTGCTAATGGCCTGCACGGCCGTGCTGGTGCGTGGATACTGACACGGCCGTGCTATTGGCTTGCACGGCCGTGCTGCCTTGCCTGGGGTTGCTTGCTTATAGGCCAGCACGGGTGTGCCTATGGTAACACGGCCGTGCTGCCTGTGCTATGTAATCAATGCACGACACTTGAACTTCCTTAACTCCTCGGACTTCGGTCAAGGCTAGCTCGGTTACGCATCAAGGGCTCAGGATCCGATTAAACTCGGTTGATATTACCTGAAAAACACATAAAAAACAAACCGAAAACCCGTGAAGCACGTAATATGGGGAACGTAAGCATAACAAGGTAATAATCGGCCAAAACGGCCCCAAATACATCCAAAATCATCCTAAAATATGCTCTAAAGCGCGCCCTAAAGTGCGCTTGTCAAAACCCCCCAAGCTACACTTTTGCTAGTCCTCGAGCAAAAACCAAGGGAAACGCACACAAGATCAAATAAACTATGCCATTGCGAACAAATCAAATTAAGCACAGAATGAAATCAATGGATCCTACTTAGAACAACCATGCACGGAATGAAAACTCACTCAAACAAGCAACGAGACACACAATCCAAGATATCGTTGATCAAATGCGAACAAGACCTAAACCAAGCATAGAGAACAAAGAAATCATGCTTCCCTCTAAACCCAACCAAACCGGCCACGTCCTCCCCTTTTGCTTCAAATCACCACCCTAATTGGCCCCTCGTGATTCCTCGAAGGAACCGGAAAAAGTGATATTTTGAGGAAATAACAAAGGTATCCCGACATCTCGATTACGCATAATCTTTCCATAGGGTTGAAAGGTATCTCCCTCCACCGTTTGAGAACCGAACACCTCTAAAGTCTAAGGGTCTTAAAGGGTTGTAATGTATTGGCAATGGGTAAGGTAGGTGAAAACAATTTAAAAAATGGGGTTAATTCCTAAATGAAGCGCAAGAATCACAATTCTCAAAAACAATAGTTCAAAAGATGCAATTCACATTCCACAATAAACATTGATCACACTTTTACACATCCCAAACTCTCTATGTTATACACACTCAAATCACCTTTTTCAAACTTCAAAGCTTTTATTCATATGTCCTCGCCTTTTTCACAATTCGGACGGCTTTTCTCTTTTTTTTTTTTTTTTATTTTTTTATTTTCTTTTCTTTTTTTTTTTTTTTTTTTTTTTTTCAAAAACAAATTTTCATATTACATCTTTACAATTAAGCTCACTTTCAAACTTGCTCAAACCAACTATCGATCATTATTCTTGATTTATACACAATAAGCTCAAACAAACCTTGCGAGGTAAACGCTTCACAACTAAGGGTTGGTAAAACATCGGCCATCGGGTTTGTAACATGGGTAACCAAGAATGGAATTAAAGGCTCAACATGGTTAGCAAGTAAGATGATGTAAAAAGAAAATTAATTTGTAACAAAACAAAAGGAACAAGAATAAGAAAAATGAAAAAGGTGCCCTCTTCCTCCCTTAAAAGTGTCAAGTCGGTCTTGGGAGCTACAAGTCAACACAAAGATCGAAACATGCGTAATCAAGGATCCAAATATGCCACTCAAGAAGAATGATGAAGGCTAGAACAATAAAACCTCACGGGATTAAAAAACAAAGCAACTACCAATTAAGGGGATCAAATCCACAAATGGGAAGCGACTCCATCTTACCACAGCCCAAAGGCATAGAGTTTCACATGACAAAAGTGTTTTAACCAACTACCTTCGCCTAGACTCGTCTACATTGATCAACAATAGACTCAAACTGTGTATTCATCACTGGCTTAAGTAGAAATAGATATTCCACACACATTCATTCACGTTTCGAATCCAAATATGAGCATTATTCCAAAAGTTTATGCAATTAGACAAGTTTATCACGATCCAAAAATATAGGAAAAGACTATGAGGCAAATCATATAAACTAGACTACACATTCTCATAACAGAAGCTTTTCCTATATTGCACACAAAAACAAAAAAACTAAAGGAAAAAGGGAAAGATTTCACCAAATGCTTCTTGAAAACACACTAAGACAACATGAGATGCGGCGAAGCTCCTAATGCTACCTCCATGAGTCTTCATATCTGCACAGGTTAGATAGAAACAAACCAAAACAAAACCAAAAGAAACTCGTTTTTTTTTTTTTTTATAGGAATATGAAGAAAAACAAGGGAAAATCAACAAGGAAACCAGGAAAATCAACAAGGAAACCATTCACCCCCCCCCAAGCTAGTATAGACATTGTCCTCAATGTCAAGGCATCGAGAGACTACCTAGAAGGCAAAAAGGGAAAGAGAAAAGTACCTCATTGACTGGGTCTCGGGTTGCCTCCCGGAAGCGCTTCTTTAACGTCATTAGCTTGACGCAACACATGGATTACAGGTTACCCATAATCAATACTTGCCTTTGCAGTGGAGATAAGCTCACCATTCTTATTCTTGACAATAGTCACCGCCCCTTTCTTAGGTACTACAAACACAGGGGAAACCCTTCCTTGATGTGTTGGAAGGGGTTTAAGATTTACCTTTGGTGCTTCATTAGCCTCCTTTGCAGTGGCCACATCTAATGCATCTAGAAATTGCTCCTCCATGTCCCTGTTTTCCTTGTTCTCATTCAACTCAAAATCATGATTAGTATAGAATAATTCGTTACGCATATCAGAGACAATGGAATCAACAGTGTCAACCATCATGCAATTATCAAAATTAGAACAAGGATATTTCATAGTTTTATTTAAATCAAAATCTAAAACCTCCTTTCCTACTTTCAATGAAATCTTGGCACCCTTTACATCAATAAGGGCCCCCGAAGTAGCTAGAAAAGGACGTCCTAGAATTATAGGTATATGAAAATCCTCATCCATATCTAGGACCACAAAGTCAACAGGTATGACAAACTTCCCCACCCTTAGGGGAACATCTTCCACTTTACCCTTTGGAAATTTGATCGATCGATCGGCTAATTGAAGGGATATGTTAGTGGGAAGAAGTTCTCCTATATTTAATCGTTGATAAACAGAATATGGCATGAGACTAACACTAGCTCCAAGATCACACAAAGCATTATCAATATTCATTTTGTTTATAGCACAAGGGATTGAAAAGCTACCCGGATCTCCTAACTTAGGAGGCATTTTGTTCATTATTATAGCACTACAGTGTTCAGTGAGGTTAACAGTTTCTACCCCTTCACAGTTTCTTCTACCACTCAATATATCTTTTAAAAACCTAGCATAGTTAGGCATTTGCTTGATAGCATCAGTGAATGGTATAGAAAGGTGGACTTCTCTCAAGGTCTCTAAAAACTTCCCGAATTGGGCATCTAGCTTATGTCTCACATATTTTTGGGGGTAGGGGAGTCTATGTAATAGGTCGGGTTCATTGGTTTGTGCTCCCACCTGTTCCTTTGGGACCTCATTAATTTTATCTTTTTCTCTGGTCCTCTCATCCTCACTTCCTACAACATTATCAGTGATAGGTGGAGTCACAGGTTGACTCCTAGGGGGTACTACTTCATCGCTCCCCCTCAATGTCTTTCCACTCCTAGTGGTGATAGCATTTACAGAGTTTTTAGGGCAATACCTTGAGGCGGTAGTTTTGAAACTCCAACCCCATCTTTTATAGCACTAGCCAACTGAGAAATCTGGGTTTCAAGCATTTTATTATGTGTCATCACTTCATTAAACTTTTTGTCACTGGTGGCCATGAAAGTGTTGAACATTTTGGTCTGTGCTTCCATCATCTCCTCCAAACTAGTCCTTTGCGATGGTCCTTGAGCATTGTAGTTGTCATTAGAGGCTCGGGAGCCACGCGCATTAGACTGTTGGGGATTTTGATTTTGGAAGTTGTTCCTGTTACCATTGTTATTCCAATTTCCCCTGTTATTGGCATTCATGTTCTGATTGTATTGCCCTTGATTACCTGCATTTTGTTGGTAATTATTCTGATTACCAAAATTACCATGTTGATTATAAGACCCTTGGGGATTTTGGTCCCTTTGGTTCCTGTTTCCCCACTGGTTTTGCTGTTGGTAGTCAGAATTATTACCCTGTTGATTATAATTGTTCCCTCTTTGATTAGGTAATAATATCTGTTATTGTCATTCCTAGGTCTATTATCATAAGACAAGGCATTGACTTGTTCATTATCACACTCATTACCATCATTATAGTTGGATTGAAATTGGGAATCTACGTTACAGGCAGAGGTATCATGGTCATAAGACCCACAGTTTTCACAGAATATACATCCAGCAGGCATATTATTAGAGTTAGAGTGCATACCTGCTCCCTTAGAATAGGATGGAAGATTTTGATGCGGTGGAGCGTTGAGCTTCTCTTTGATAATTGACATTTCCTTACCTAGATTTACAATTTGCAATGTCAAATTCCCGATTGCATTAAGATGGTCTACCGAATATACCGCTCCTCCACTCTTGCTCGTGGCCTCTCGCTCTCCATCTTGCCAATCCATGTGGTGTCGTACCACATCTTCTATGATATCAATGACTTCTTCGGTTTTGTTCATAATGGGGCCACCTGCTCCCGCATCCAAACTGGTCTTCCCTTGAGGACTCAATCCTCCATAGAAAATCTGTAAAACTTGATATGTTGGGATTCCGTGGTGTGGGCACTCTCTTTGATACTCCTTGTACCTTTCCCATGCTTCGTAGATTGACTCCCCACTCCTTTGCCGAAATCCCTGGATCAAAGCTCTAGCATCGGCCGTCTTCTTTTGGGAATAAAATCTTCCCAAGAATGCTGTCGTGACATCATCCCAAGTGTGTAGAGAGTTCGGCTTCACCTCCTTCTCTAACCATTCGAGAGCTCTCCCAATAAGTGAAAAGGGGAAAAGCTTCAATCTCACGAACTCTTGATTCACCCCATTAACCTTGATGGTATTGCTGTACTTCTCAAATTCGTTCAAATGAGCCAAAGGGCTCTCATGCTTGGCACCACTAAACTGCCTTCTCTCGATGAGGGTGATCATAGCCGGCCGGATCTCGAAATCATTGGCCTCAGTAGTGGGTGGAGCAATCCCACTTGAAGCTCTATACGCCCCAGGAGTTCCCAACTCCTTAAGGGGTCGTGGTGCTGGCCGATTGGGTTGGCGCGGTATGTCTTCCATTGGAACCTGTTGTGTGTTGTGTTCCTTTCCTTGAGAGTTTGATGACGTCAATCGAGATTTACGATTGCTCTTCAAAGTTCTTTCGATTTCTGGATCGAAGGGTATTAATTCTCTCTGTTTAGACCTGCGCATACACACTAACCAAACCAATTAAATATCAGGGCTACAAGTGTAGCCAAAAGGGAAAAATCTTTTTGTGCTTTTTTTATGATGAACTAGACTCAAGAAATCAAAAAGCAATTAACAAACACCGTTCCCCGGCAACGGCGCCATTTTGACAAGGGTTAAATCGGTCGCTACAATCTAACTCTCAATCAAACAATACTTATACGAACACCCTATAACCAAGTACAATGGCAAATAAAGGTTCGGTCCACGAGGAACGAGAGTAATTGCAAATCAATCTTAAACCTAAGCTAGTTCGAAATCAATGGAAAATGGTGTTCTAAAATACTACTAATAAGATGGAATAAATCAATAAACTAAGACACTAGGGAGAACGGGAATCCGCCTAACCATTGGTAACTAAGCAACAAGGAATCACAGAGACAAACGGGATATGCAAAGACTATAAGTCTGATCAATATCATGTGATAGGAAGACAACGGGCAATACTAAGCTTGGATTTCTCATGCACTTAACATTACTCGATACATAATCAAACCACATTCAATAATGAAATACTCAATTCACAATCTCTTGTTCAAATCAAGAATATCATGCAATCAAATTCAAGATTCTAGGTTAGCTACTCCTATTATAATGAATTAACATGCAATCGCATATAATCAATTTAATCACAATCCGTTTATCAAAATCAACCCTCAATTACATAGATTACCTAGGCCGGGTTTCATCCCGAAACCCTAGCTAGGAGACTACTCACACATATTCATAATCAAAGCAATAATGAATTCCAAAAGCATAATAGATATAAACATGAATTCTGATTAAGGAATAATAAAGCTTGATTAATAAACAAGAATGAATAATACCAATTGTATTGATGCGAATCAATGGAAAAGTTCAGAACTTTGATATCCGTCGTCAATGAATAATACAAAGAATCTTCGCAAATCTTGCTTCAAATCAATCCAAGAAAACTAAAATCTCTAGAAATATCTCTAAGAAAACTAATGAATCTCTAATAATAAGAACGTTCTCCAATACCTCTCTACAAAGGCTCTCAAAACTATCTCTAAAAAACTGTCTCTGGAATCCTCTTAAAGTCGGGCCTTATATACGTCTTCTAATTCGGAGAAGTCAAGCGCGCAGTTAACCCTAGATCAGCACGGCCGTGCTGAATTTGGCACGGCCGTGCTAGCTTGTCAGTAGGTAAACCGGATTTCTTCTTCAATTTGGCACGGCCGTGCTATATATGGCACGGCCGTGCAGCTTCCTGGCACGGCCGTGCTAAAAATGACACCGCCGTGCTGAATATGCTCCAGCACGGGGCTCATACTGAAGCTGACACGGGCACGGGCAACATCTGGCACGGCCGTGCTAATGGCCTGCACGGCCGTGCTGGTGCGTGGATACTGACACGGCCGTGCTATTGGCTTGCACGGCCGTGCTGCCTTGCCTGGGGTTGCTTGCTTATAGGCCAGCACGGGTGTGCCTATGGTAACACGGCCGTGCTGCCTGTGCTATGTAATCAATGCACGGCACTTGAACTTCCTTAACTCCTCGGACTTCGGTCAAGGCTAGCTCGGTTACGCATCAAGGGCTCAGGATCCGATTAAACTCGGTTGATATTACTTGAAAACACATAAAAAACAAACCGAAAACCCGTGAAGCACGTAATATGGGGAACGTAAGCATAACAAGGTAATAATCGGCCAAAACGGCCCCAAATACATCCAAAATCATCCTAAAATATGCTCTAAAGCGCGCCCTAAAGTGCGCTTGTCAACTATACTATTGAACTCAGAATAGATAATATGAAGCAAATTAGGTTTTCAATTTTTAATACGTTGTAATCGATCATATGTTCCTATTTTACGCCAATTGCTTGGTCTGATCTGGTAAAAAGATCAAGATATCCCTGCCCTCTGTTCTGCCAGAACTGGTGTTTTTTTTGTGCTCCTAAAATCTTTGTTCTTAGTGCTCAATTTTCTATAGATACTGAAGTAATATAGGAAGTAGTGAAGTACCATATTAGAAATTGCCGCTGCAATTTTGGTCCTGCGCTCTTTCCTTTCAATGAATCTCTAACAATACAAGAACATAATCTTCCATTTATATACACCAAATCAGGCATAAACTCATAGGTAGTTTAGGTTATTATCCATTTGGCTCTTGTTTCCCTAGATTGTTTAAGTTGCTTTATAAAAGAAAAGGTGGAAGCGCATTTGAGACTTTGCTAACTGCTAGGAGCAAGGTATATTTTTGGACTAATTTGCTGACATTTGAGACTTTGCTTTGAATGATATATTTGTAAAAATATTGTTACATTGGATTCTGAATAAGCTGTTTTTGGTGGGATTATAGGCTGCTTGTGGTCTGACTAACAAGCCAAAGGAACAAGTAGCTGACATTGATGCATCTGATGTTGATAATGAGTTAGCTGTGGTTGAATATGTTGAAGATATATACACTTTCTATAAGATAGCAAAGGTATAATTTTATTAAAACCCACTTTTAGAAATGTTGAAACCAAAGTGCTGATTATGCTTGGATTACCATGCATACGTAGTTATCTCTTAAGATCTTGGTAGACATTCATTATGGGTGGATTTCTTTTCTACTACGGACTGAAAACTATCCAACCCTATGTCAATTTTTTAAGAATTAATTCAATTTTAGTAAAATTGGCAGAGCATCAATCGGATGTGCATGTAATAACTGGATGAGATTGTTTGGGCTATTTTGTTTAGGTATATGACTAATTCTAAGTTAAATGTTTATTAGCAATCTATTCGAAGTTGAAAAATGGTGTTACTGTTTACTGTCTTCTTTCCTTGGGTGAGTCGTGAAGCTATTATTACAAGACTCATTTTATGGAAGAGGTTTATTTTGTAGTTACTATGTAGGGCAACTGATATAGTGCAAATGTGAATCATTTCGTAGAACACCTTGAGTTTTATTTTTAATGTCACCTATTTAACTTTTATTTAATTGAAGTTTTGGCATACTCATTCTAACTTGCTTTGGAGTATGTTTGGATAGCGGCTTGTTTGTTCATTGAAGATTAGCTGATTATGCATGCACTGCTGACAGTTGAGAGCATTTGGGTCAGCAGTTTGTTGATAGTGTGAACAGCTTGATCTCCGATATCTAAGATTTGGCAGGTTCATTGGATATGTAATGAATCAGCTAGAACTTAGGCAAAACTTAGGTGATGTGTATGAATAATTTGCTGAAACTTGCAAGTCCTGGTGCTGTGTACTGATGTTCACAGGTTTCTGCCGTCGTAAGGAGGGTAGTATTACTCTTGGTTAGATAGGCTATGCTCCCCGTACCCGGAGGCTAGTTTGCTTGGCTTGGACCAGCAATCGTCATGCCTACCAATGTTCTGGAATTTAGAATAAATAATGTGTAAATTCCGTACTGCTAATATACTCGAGTAAGATTTGACTTGTGAACTGTTCTCATGTACTATGCAAATCTCATTTCCTTTCCAAAAGGCTATCTCCATACTGTCATTTGTAATGCACAGGAGTTTTGAAACACAACTGTTAATACTGATCTCCATTTATTGATCAGACTATTGGATTTGATCTTTGATTATTGTTCATGTATTTACTCAGTTTGTTAATTTTTTTTTGTGTACGTCTTGCCTTTAGCAAAACTGTTGAGTGCTTAAGCACAGCAAAGGAAGAGCAACAAATTTTGAAGGAAGAGCAGCCACCAGCACAAGACAACAGCCTGCCTGAACAGAAGCAAAACCAATCACCCAGCCAGCTTGAACAGAGCAGAAACACAGCCACAGCCAGCAGAGCAGCCACCAGCACAAGACCAGTACATCTAGTTAAATGAAATGCAAGAAAGGTCGATCATGGATAAGTCTAGATTATTTATTTTTTTTTGGACGAAAATTGTAATATTAAAGCCTTTTTTAATGAAAATATGTAACTTTATATATATGTTAATGTTTCTATATCAATTTAAGTGAAAAAATGTAAAAAAAAAAAAAAAAATATTTTTTTGGGGTATTTTTGGCACCGGTTTTACTAGAACCACTGCCAAAAGTTTTTTTAAAATTTTTTTTGAGCCTTTTGGCACCGGTTCAGAGAAAGAACCGGTGCCTAAAGTGGGGTTTTTTGCACCGGTTTTTTCTTTGAACCGGTGCCAATAGTATTGAAAAAAAAACGCGCCATGGTAGTTGGCACCGGTTAACCGGTGCCAAAGCATGTAGTTAGCACCGCTTAATCGGTGCTAAATGCTTTAGTTGGCACCGATTTTGAACCGGTGCCAAATTTTCATTGATTTGGCATCCCTCAAATACCCAACGGTTCAAAACTGGTGCCAAAGGGGGGGTTTGAACCGGTGCCTTTTTTATCTTTTTCGTCTAGTGTAAGAATGTTCATAAAAAACCTTCAAGACAAGTATTATAAGCACCTAAAATGTCAACCGTTAACCACCTTCAAAGCTGTCTATGACATAGGCATTAACATTGAAGATGACCTCTTTAAGGCTAGTCACAATGGCAACAATGGCAAGGGCAAGAAGAACGACAACCCTTCTTCCGCTTCTTCCCATCACATTAACAACATTAATGCTAATGAAATCTTGGCCCTTGATAAAGATGCTTCAAAAGCTAAGAAACCCAAAAGAGAATTCACACATATTGGAATATCCTATGATGTTGCTTTTGATCGTTTCAATGATCGAGGTTTAATCAAACCCATTGGTCCCACTGAGGATCCAGCACCTGAAAGCGATCTTCAAGATGGAATCCCACTCCTATTGCAAGTACCATTGAGGAAATGGTCATACCACAGATGAATTTTACAGGTTTCAAAACCTCATTCAAGATCTCATCGATGCAAACAAGCTTCCATTCCCTCCAGCCGGCAAAAAGACCGAGTGATGATAAGCACAAAGCACGAGGCGGGCTCCAACGACAAGATTTCATGATTCTTTTCTTATTTTTGTGTTTCCCCTTTCCCCAATAAGTCTAGAATAGGTGATGAGTGCCATTTATGGCACTCAAATGGCGTTATTTTATGATGAAATTAGTTGCTTTTATAGCTTTCTTTATATCTAGCTTTTCTCTTAGTTTTGATCTTTTATTCTCTAGTTTGTCTCATTTTCGTTTATTCTACCTTTTTCTTATATTTTCAAAGATTTTATCGTCTTTCCCTTTTTATTTGTTTTCCTTTCTTTGTTGTCAAGAATAAGGTGAAGTCCAAGACCCTTCATGATGATTTCTTGGGTTAGAAGATGCTCAAAGTGCAAGGTGGAAGCTCTCTATAGCTCATAAGGCAAGGAATGGATAACTTTAAGAATTGGTGATTGCGCTCACGAGCTGCGCTCGCATGAAACGATGGTGTTGAACCCACCGTGAACCCATTTTGGGACTGCCATACCTAATGATGGTCAAGAGGAGCGCACTACCTACATCGAAGAGCGCACGGAGGAGATGCCTTGTTCCAGTGGCACGGGCACGCCTTCCACCTGTGCGACTGCGGGCGCGCCACCTGGTATCCCTGTTAAGTACCCAGGTCTTCGCAAGCACACATGTTCAAGTAAGGGCGCACCTGTACGGGTTTATTTTGGACGTCTTCCTTATTTCTCCTTAGTTAGTCTATAAATAGATTTTCCTTATATTTTTAGAGAGATGAGAAAAAAAAATAGTGATAATTAGATTTAGAGAGAGAATTAGGACTAGATTTTAGAGAGAGAAACTTGAGAGAATTTGGTGATTTCTACATTTGATTTCCTTCTACTTTGAATGCAAGCACAATTCCTTTGATTTGATCAAAGTTTTTAAGAGTTTTCTTCTTCTTAATTCAATGTCTTTGCATTTGATTTTGATTAATTGTTGCAATTTCAAGTTTATTGATTGGTTTGATTTTTGATAGTTTGTTTGCAATGATGATGATGGTTTTGATGATTAGTTTAGTTTTGTTTCTTCAATTCACCATGAATAGTGAGTAGATTCCTTGCTAGGGTGATGGTGAAGCATGAATGAATGATGGATCATTGCTAATTGATGGATTTTGATTGATTGAATGTTGTGATTAAATTGGTTGATAAAATTATGCATGTGTTTGAATTGATAAGGAGTAGCTAACCTTGATTTTCAAGCTAGATTGCATTGTGATTCCTAATGACATGACCACTTGATTTAGGGATTGCATTTATTGATTGAACTTGACTTGTGATTCTTCTTGCTAGTCATTCATAGAGGAAACCTAGCTTGACTTCTAGGAGATAACCTTTTGAGTTCTCTTGATTGCAATTACTATTTTCCCTTGCAACATTTGGTTGATCGATTTCCCCCTTAATTGGCATTACTATCTTGATTGTATGTGGATCGTAATCCCTAGTACTTTTGATATTGAATTTCTTTATTGTTTAGTTGCTTGAGACCATAGTTATACATTCAACACTTTCCTATTCTTCAAAGTAGGTTGACTTTAGGCTGTAGTAACCTTTCTCCCATTCCTCGTGGTTCGACCCTTGACTTACCCTATACTTTGTTTAGGATTGGTCGAGTGTTTACAAATTTTGTTGATAAGGCTTTAAGCATTAGCAACGTGTTTAGATCCTCTATCAATAGACATCCCCAAGACATTTCTCCTTATGTGTTTACATTACCCTTTCCATTTCAATAAAATGAGCATTAATTTTCTTTGCATATGAACATTGCATTGCATTTCATTAAAAAAAATAATGTCGCCGAACTAAACTCAAGGTATACCAATGATTTGAGGCATCACTTGTAGAGATATCATATCACCTTCACCCTTTCGAATATACAATCTTTTTTTCATACAATCTCTCACACACATCACAGATACATATCCTTGAGTCAACCTCAATCTAACTAGCTGTCAAGGTCCTTTGGCAAAATTTGACTTTTTGCAGGGTTTGGATACATCATTCTAGCAGGCAATTTTTCCAAGATTAAATTGTCATCACAATTGAACATGTTTCCAAGAGTGGATTGTCATGCATTTTCCTCAACTAGAAATTTTTTTTAAGATTGGATTTTCACCTCAACTGACAATGTTTCCAAGAGTGGATTGTCATGCACCTTCTTCATTTGGCAATTTTTTCCAAAAATGGATTGTCACAAGTCATCCCCTTTGGCAATTATTTCAAGTTTGGATTGTCATCTCCTTTGACAACTATTTCAAGTTTGGATGGTCATTCTCCCAGTTCCCTATGGCAAAATTTCCCAAAGGATTGTCGTGGGTCTTTATTTAACATTTCAGTAAAGGTTCCTCAGCGTGGAATGTCATTCATTTCAGCGTTGGCAAATTTCCCAAAGCAGTTTGTCGTTTGGCTCGTTTGGCAAATGTTCCAAGATGCGAATTATCGATGTGGCAATATTCTCCTAAATGGATTATCGCATAGCATTGAAAAATTTTCCAAGGTGGATTGTCTTTTGAGAGTTGTGTTCCAAGGTGTGGATTTTCAATCGTAGCAATATTTCGCGCGACGTTACACAACATTGGAAACTTTTCCTAAGTTGGACTTTCGCTATTGTTCCGAGACGCGGATTGTCGTTTCATCGTGGAAACATTTCTTATGGTGGATTATTACGTCGCATTGAAAACTTACCCTGAACTGGATTATCGCTCATCATTCAAGATTTGTGTTGGCAACTGTTCCTAAAGTGGATTTTCATCACCCCAAGATACGCGTTTCTCTCCCTTACTAACTCGTTTATTTGTAGAATTGACGCTTTCTGCAGGTATCGGCATTAAATAGGATGGTTTAAGATCGCAGAACGTTATGAATCATTCTCCGTCCCAATCGATCTACTTCGACTAGCATTTTCAAAACTTATGTTTTTCCAAACTCAGTCAAAGTGGGGGCTTCCTAGATGATTGTGTCTCCCCAAAAACCAAACCAAGTAATGAATACCTTTCACGTCTTTGATTAACGAGTTCGGTAAAGAGTTGAAGAGTCTCGTGAAATTTCCTTAAACCTTGAAAATATTTATAACCTTACCTAACATTTTTTAATCCAAAATCAATCATTTCGTGTCTTTAAACCCAAAATCATTCATTTCGTGTCTTTAAAATCATTCATTTCGTGTCCAAACCACAAAACCGTCCAAAACAGTTTATTTGGGTCCATAATCTCAATCCAATTATTATTTAGTTGGATGGGGTTTGAAAAGAGCTTTCCAACGATATATTATAAGCCCAAATCCGACTTAAAACAAATAAGTTAGGGCCAAAATACTGAACCAAGCCTAAACCGGACCTAGGTCCACCTTACCTAAGACCCAATGATTATGTGGGGGTCCAAATACCTTAATCCCAATCCTAAACCAATTAGGATTTATTAGGAGCTTCTAGAAGTCTCTAGAAGTATCTTTTTTATCCTTTCCGAAAAGATAAAGATCAAAGAGTTTGAGATTGAATAAAACTTCTCTTTTAATAATTCTAAACTGACATTGTCTCACTATTTCAATCATATCTTAAATTCTACAAAAAATATCAATTTGATTCCAATTGGGTTAGAAATTAGAATTCAATAGCTTTCCAACGATATATTATTTATCTTATTCCAATTTCAGATAAAAAATTATGATAAAAACAAATATCGCAAAAACTGGTGTCCAACGCCCCGTAATAGTTCCATCGTGCCACGACGGACTCTGTCACGCCACGATACTCCTATTGCTCCGCGTAAAAAGAGTTTTATTCCGATTCGAATTCTAATCTTTTCTAATTGATTCGACTTTCCCCCCCTCCCAATAAATAGAGGTCGTTTTCCCCCGTTTTTAACCACAAACAACCAACAATCATCAATAATCCTCTCTAATCATCTTAATCATCTCTTATTTCTCTTGATTCCATGTTCTAAGCCTTAGCCTAAGCACACCCTAAACACATCCTTGATATTCTCCCCAATAAAACACCATACCTCCTTTGCAAGACTTGAATACT